GGCTCTTTCCACGCCACTACACCCACAGGGGATTTGCATATTATCCCCTGGGAGGACCTTCCCTTGTGAGTCTGAGATAAAAGCTCAGCTCTTACTTGCCTTGACTGATCAGGACTCCTCAGGTCACCTTCTCACAATGAGGCTCCCTGCTCAGCTCCTGGGACTGCTAATGCTTTGGGTCCCTGGTAAGGACGGCAGGCAGATGAGGGAGGAGAATGGAGTGGGAGGGTGAGCTCTGGGGGCCCCACTGCCTCCCATGTGTGTTCCATCCACATGTTAGATGTGTAGGTCTTGTTCTCCAGCATGAAACATATGATGTACGGATCTCTGAGAGTGAGGAAGACTTTAGAAGAAGGAAGGGTATGTGCCCTGAAGAAACTCAAGTCTTAGAAAGGGGGTGATGGTATAGGAGACCTCTTTGTGCCTGTTGAGTTCTTTTTGAAACTGGATATTCTTGAAATTGCAAAGAAATTATACAGGCTGGAATAATAAATCGAAAATTATGAACGTGATACATAATATTTTTATGTAACTTTGCCCTTTTCTGTCATCATTCCAGGAACTAGTGGGGACATTCTGTTGACCCAGACTCCACTGTCCCTGCCCGTCACAACTGGAGAGCCGGCCTCCATCTCCTGCAGGTCCAGTCAGAGCCTCCTGCATAGTAATGAAAACACCTATTTACATTGGTACCTGCAGAAGCCAGGCCAGTCTCCACAGCTCTTGATCTATGAAGTTTCCAACCGGGCCTCTGGAGTCCCAGAGAGGCTCAGTGGCAGTGGGTCAGACACTGATTTCACACTGAAAATCAACCTGGTGGAGGCTGAGGATGTTGGGGTTTATTACTGCATGCAGACTACACAATGGCCCCCCACAGTGCTACATCCTGGAACAGAAACCTCTCTGCTGGGGTTGCCCAGCTGCCCACATGTGCTGCTTGTCTGGGGAGCAGCTGAGCAGGGTCTCTGCGTCTGCAAAAGGGGAGGCTGTTGGAGAACTCAGGTTTGCTGTTGAGGACTCTGGGCCATGAATCCTCAGCTGCACCTCAAGCACAATCTGTTTATTTACTTCTTTATGTTTTCAAGACAGGGTCTCACTCTGTTACCCAGCATGAAGTGCAGCGGGGTGATCATGGCTCACTGCAACCTTGAAATCCCAAGCTCAAGTGATTCTCCCACCTCAGCCTACAGAGTAGCTGGAAACACAGGGTGCATGCCACCAAGCCTGATTAATTTTTGTAAATTTTTTTTTTGTAGACATGGGGTTTCACCATGTTGCCCAGGTTGCTCTTGAAATCCTGGGCTCAAGTCATCCACCCAAGTCAGCCTCCCAAAGTGCTGGAATTAGAGGCATGAGCCATCACACCAGATTCCCGCTCTTGTTGATGTTCCTGTCACCTGACACAGCCTTGACTGTCATAAGTAGCAGGAGTATGAGGAGGTTCTAGGGCCCTGTGAGTTAAAAATCAGGACGAAAAGGAAAGGAGGATGGAAGCTCATCTTCATCCTCCCTCCTTGCTTACAGTTGTTTATTAAATTTATTCAGCAAAACAGCCAGACAATTGATCATTTCTGGCAAAACACATTGAATACATCTTAGGGTTTAACAGTTTGATATAGGATAGATAGATATAGATATAGATATAGACATAGAGATAGATAGATCTTTTTTGAGACAGAGTCTCTGTCGCCCAGGCTGGAGGGCAGTGGAGCAATGATCGCAGCTCACTGCAACCTCTGCCTCCCAGTTTCAAGCGATTCTCCTGCCTCATCTTTCAAGTAGCTGGGATTACAGGCTCTCGCCAACACGCTCAGCTCATTTTTGTATTATTGGTAGAGACAGGGTTTCACCGTGTTGGCCAGGCTGGTCTCAAACTCCTGACCTCAAGTGATCCACTGGGCTTAGCCTACCAAAGTGCTGGCATTACGGGCATGAGCCAGCGCACCTAGCCATATTTTTAAGAAAATATTTGGTTATATTTAAAATTGTCATTTTCCTACTTTTTTTTGTAACTTCCGCTTATTCTACTTAGCACTCATTGCCCACTCCCTAAGACTGTAGAGACAGCGTTCTCCACTAGTTCTCCTCAGAGGGATCTGGCTGAGGACAATCAGTAACATCTTGGTAGTGAGTGTCCAATAGATTTTGTAATTTCATAGCAGATTCAAGATACTAATACTGAAACTTTTTCTTTTTATTACAATTGCCTCTCACTGACAGAAAAAGGGAGTTCTTGAAATTCCAAAAGTTGGTTTTTAGAAATAAAAAGCAAATCTTGGAAGATGTAGTATACTAAAGATGTAGTATTTTCCATGGATCACTGGGAAAATAAAAGATGTCGTAAACATTTTTATTCCGCAAAGTTCAGAATTCAAGATTGGACAGACTGCAGGAAGTGGGGCATGAGGGGATACAGGAGAGGTCAGCTATTGTTCAGTTAAACTGCCCTTGGTTTATGGTGGGTGGGGATGTGGGTGGTGGTGGGCATGGCAGTTGATGTGGACCCACAAAGGGGCCAAATATGTTTCTTGTGAAGAATCACGGAGTTAAAGGCACTGCTGCCTGACTTCCTGGGTGAAGCCTGTGCCACCGGGACTCCCAAAGGAAAGTAATGTTGTGAGTAGGGCTTTAGTTCTGTAATCACCAAAGGTTTAGTGAAGTTCCTGTGCAAGGAGACCTGAGGTCATGTCACTCAGTCCGAGTCAAATCACAACAGCCAAGCAGAGCTTCTGAAACTCATTCTGCCCCTAGAGGAGGTTTAGCAGAGACCACTGGTTGGGTCTGGAGATGTCACAAGCACTGACATGCTGAGCGGAAGGCCAAGCACAGTCTACACCAGCAGGGGGCGCAGTGGGGATCCAGAACCATGTCCGTGATTCAGACATGTATTCAGAGTGTTCTGTGCAAGTCTGAGGATTTAGAAGAACACGCTGAGTCTGTGGGAGTTTCATGTTCTTCTAGCCCATCTCCTCCAGCTGCCTGATGACTCAGAACTCAGCAAATGCCCCATGGAGGATACAGGCCATGTAAAGAGGCTTCTCTGTGCAACCCCTGAGGATCAACCCAGTTCATTTTTCCCAGGAGACCTCCTCTGTCTGTGCCAAGACAGAGCTTGTGTCCACATGCAAACTTGGCAGATTTGGCAGGAGGACAAAATGTTAGGAGAGCATCAGCTCAGCCAGAAGGGGCCCTATTCACTTTGGAATTTCAGGTCACTTCGTTCTCATTTCTTCCACCATTCTCCGATGTTATTAATATAAAATTTTGTATTGTTTTCTCTCCAGGTTCTTGCAGTGGTTCTCTTAGCCTTTCGACCCCACATCGTTGTCCCAGAATAGGAAGATTCCTTTTGAAACTCACTAGTCATTTAGAAATGGCAATTTGGGTTCTAAATTATCACAAAAAGCAATAAAAGGTTTTGAAATAAGTGAATGTATAATTTTTACACGATGTGGTCATTACCTGAAAATAAACCTGACTCCCATATTCTAATGGTAGTGGGATGGAAAAAGTATGCTTTGCATGGTTTCACTCAAAATAATTCCTCAAAAATATTTGTGAAGATATTTAAACCAAGCTTTCCTCTGGAATCTTACCTAGAATTTCATTTATTTGTATTCTTGGGCAATTAAATAAGAATTTCGGTCAAATTACCCAAGATTACACAGCACTGCAAGCTAGTATTTCAATTGTTCCTGGTTTTTTTGTTTGTTCATTTGTTTGTTTTGTTTTGTTTTTGCTTTTGTTTTTTTTTCGAAACTTGACTGTCCTTGTGATAGTGTTTGGAGCTGACACCATTATTCAGGAGCTGTTCAATTAAATAATAAGCACATCACTAACAAATGAAGAAACATGAGATTGTTACCGTTTGTAATGATCAGCTGTGGGGCAGACTCACATCCCTGAGCTGTGCGCATCTTTACATGAAACCATGAAAATGTCAGTTTCAGGTACAGGTTACCCTGAGACATAAAACTGTAGATGTAGGTCCTTGCTCTTCTCACGTAGACAATTTCCTTCTCAACTGCAGGCTCACGGCTGTGACTGCACCACATCCAGGCTGGGGGAGACTCAGGTCTCACTCAGGGTTGGCAAGAACCTGGAAGCCCTGATAGGACCTGATCCCACATGACCAGGGAGACTGTGTGAGAAGAGTTTTCCTAAACACCACTCAGAAAAACATCATGCAATGTCATTTCTTATTTGTCTGTATCATTAACCTAGGAAATTCTTCCCTATGAGGGCCTGCTGGTTAATCTTGTACATGTGAGATGATTATGATGGGATATATCACAGATTGAACAGTTGGTCACTAGGAATTTTATATTCACTGCCTGAGGCATAAAATTCTTGCCCCATGTTCTCTTGCTTACACTGGGCTCTTGACTCTAAATGTAGAGACACACATCATTCTCCCTGTGAGGCCCTTGGCCATAGCACATTTTTGGGGCCTACTTACCAGGTGCCAGGGAAGGGGAGATTCTAACACTTTCATTGAATCATCTTCACCAGTTACCCTGGAAACAGCGGATACCAGGCAACACTTGAACTGGCTCAGGAGCACTTTTCATTTGCAGGTCCTCTGCCCGTCAGTGCTTGTGGAAACGGGGCTGTTTTCTTCTCTAGATTGACTGGAGGGAGTCATGCAGGATGGCATTCACCTCCCAGAGATGCATCCTGGAAACACACTTCCACACTGTCAGGGTCCTTGTACTTTGTCAGTGTGGCATGCACTGCACAATGTGTCCCTGCTCAAGGTCCCAACTTGCACAGTCAGAGCCTTCTTCCCTTGACCACAGTCAAACTTGACTTGAACTATGTTTGTTTTGCTCCAACGAACATTTTATGTCACATTGTTCATGGAAGAGACATCCCCGCTCTACACCACTGACCCTTTTCACACTGCTGCACCCACCAGGTGATTTGCATATTGTCCCCTAAAAAGGTCCCTCCATTGTGAGTGTGAGATAAAAGCTCAGCACTAACCTTGCCTTGACTGATCAGGACTCCTCAGGTCACCTTCTCACAATGAGGCTCCCTGCTCAGCTCCTGGGGCTGCTAATGCTCTGGCTCCCTGGTAAGGACAGCATTAAAATGAGGTGGGAAAATGGGGTGGGAAGGTGAGTTCTGGGGCTCCACACCTTCATCTATTTATTTCAAGAATGTGTTAGAGGCACATGGTCTACGCTCCAGGAAAAAGAATTCATATTTTTGTGTCAGGAATAAGCATGAATCACCTTCTAGGAACAATGACCAGGGCTCTGGTTAAGATCTTGAAAATAAAGAGTTCCCTGCTGGCTAGTAAACAATGGGTTCATTTTAGAAAGTTTACTTTTTATGATATAAATCCAAACTTGAAAATATATGTAACTGTAAATCAGTATCTTAAGGGAAATCATGAACGTTGGTCAAAATGTGTCTATATACCCTTGTGCTTCTCTGTTATTATTTCAGGATCCAGTGGGGACATTGTGATGACCCAGACTCCACTCTCCCTGCCCGTCACCCCTGGAGAGCCGGCCTCCATCTCCTGCCGGTCTAGTCAGAGCCTCTTGGATAGTGAAGATGGAAACACCTATTTGGATTGGTACCTGCAGAAGCCAGGCCAGTCTCCACAGCTCTTGATTTACGAGGTTTCCAACCGGGCCTCTGGAGTCCCAGACAGGTTCAGTGGCAGTGGGTCAGACACTGATTTCACACTGAAAATCAGCAGAGTGGAGGCTGAGGATGTTGGGGTTTATTACTGCATGCAAGCTTTACAAAATCCTCCCACAGTGGTACAGACCCGAACAGAAACCTCCCTGCTGGGGTGTCCCAGCTGCTCACATGTGCTGCTTGTCTGGGGAACAGTTCAGCAGGGTCTCTGAATCTGCAGAACAAGAGGCTGTTGGAGAATTCAGGGCAGAGTTTGCTGCTGAGGACTCTGCCTGGGACGACAGGGGCATGCCACTAAGCATGGCTAATTTTTCTATTTTTTTTTTTTGTAGAGTCGGTGCCTCACCATGTTGCCCAGCCTGTTCCCAGATTCATGGGCTCAAGCCACCCACCTGGCTTGGACTCCCAACGTGCTGGGAGTCCAGTGTTAGCCATTGTGCCAGGTCAGTGCCCTGTTTATGTTCCTGTCTCCTGCCACAGCCTTGACTCTCATAAGCGACTGGAGAATGAGGAGGTTCTAGGGCCCTGTGAGTAAAAAATTGGGAGGAAAGGGCAAGGAGAATGGAAGCTCATCTGAATCCTCCTTCCTTGCCTGCATTTGTTTAAATTGATTGAGCAAAACAGCCAGACAATTGATCATCTCTGGCAAAACATGTCGAATACATCTTAGGGTTTTATAGTTTTGGGTACATTTTAAAGAAAATATTTGGTTATATGTAACATTGGCATTTCCCACTTTCTAAATTCCTGCTTCTTCTATTTACCATTGTTCTCCACTCCATGAGACAGTAGAGACAGGATTCTCCACTACTTCCCCTCAGGGGGAATTGGCTGAGGACAATCAGTAACATCAAGGTTGTGAGTGTTAAATATGTTTTGTAATTTCATAGCAGACACAAGTTCCCAATACTAAAATCCTTTGATTACAATTACCTCTTGCTGATAGAAAAAGGGAGTTAATAACATTTCAAAAGTTGGTTTTAAAAATAAAATGCAGATGCTGGAAGACGCAGTATACTAAAGATGTCGTATTTTCCATGGATCACTGAGAAAATACAGGATGATGTAAACTGTTTTATTTTCCAAAGTTCAGAATTTGAGATTGGGCAGACTGCAGGAATGGGAACATCAGAAGAACATAGGAGAGGTCAGCTACTGTTCAATTAAACTGCCCTTGATTATGGTGGATGGGATGTGGATGGTGGTGGATATGGTAGTTGATGATGTGGATCCAAAAAGAGGCCAAATATGTTACTTGTGAAGAACCACAGAGTTGAAGGCACTGCTGCCTGGCTTCCTGGGTGAAGCCTGTGCCACTGGGAGTCTCACAGGAAAGTACAGTAGTGAGTAGGGCTTTACTTCTATAATCACCAAAGATTTAATGAAGTCCTCATACAAGGAGACCTGAGGTCATGTCACTCAGTCCGAGTCAAATCACAGCAGCCAAGTAGAGCTTCTGAAACTTATTCTATCCTTCAAGGAGGTTTAGCAGAGACCACTCTGGGTCTGGGAGATGTCAGAAGCACTGACATGCTGAGCAGAAGGCCAGGCAGAATGTAATCCAGCCGCTTTTCATAAATGACAATTTTTATATTAAGTTGCCATAAAAATCAATAAAAGATTTTGAAATAAGTAAATGTATTATTTTTACACAATGTGGCCATTACCTAAAAATAAATCTGATTTCCGTATTCTAACAGTAACGGTATAGAAAAATGTATGATTTGCATAGAGTCACTTAAAATAATGCTCCAGAAATATTTATGAATTATTCATGAGCATGTCAGTTTCCTGTCATGAGGTGATATGATTAAAGTAATGTTTGTATCAAAAGGACAAAATATCTTTTTTTCTGGTTAAGAAATGAATCACATCAGAAATTATTGCCTATTCTAAGATGATGGATCCCATTGTGAATGAATTTAAAATTGTATTTCCAAGCAGAAATGTCAAAAAAAAAGGAAATCATGGAATACAGCAAGGAATTTGTCACACATACAAAGAATGACAAGTCTTTACTTTTCCATTCATGAGTGAGAACACACAACCAATCCAAAATCTATTGATTTCACTCCCACAATCACCAGTGTGCAGACAAAGGTAGTGCAATTAAAATTATATTCCTAACCAAAAAAAAAAGTTCAAAAACAAAGAAAGGATGCTTTATAGAAAATATTTTGCAAAACAAAGAATGACATGTCTGTAGAAGGTATTCACAAGCGGGGACTCACATCTAACCAAAATTCAAGGGATTTCACCATCACAAACACTACTTTGGAACCTGGAGATGTTGCACATCCTCCTGTGAGCAGGACGCTCATCAGGACCCTGCACAGTGTGATGGCCCCAAACACAAAGCTCCCAAGGAAGCTCAGCCTCAGTGTGGAAGGAGAGGTTGTGGTGCCAGGGGATGTGTCCACAGAGGGTAGAGTCAGGTGGGCTCAGGCAGTTGCCTGGAGAGTCTTTGAGGAAGAGGACATGAGGTCTCAGCCCCACTCGGCTGATTTTCAGTGTGAAATCAGTGCCTGAACCACTGCCATTGAACCTGTCTGGGACTCCAGAGGCCCGGTTTGAAACAAAATAGATCAGGAACTGTGGAGACTGGCCTGGCTTCTGCAGGAACCAATACAAATAGGTGTATCCATCACTGGACAAGAGGCTCTGACTAGACCTGCAGGAGATGGGGGTGGCTCTCCAGGGGTGACAGGCTGACAGGCCAGGAGAGTGGAGTCTGGGCCATCACAATATCCCCACTGGATCCTGAAATAATAACAGAGAAGTGCAAGTTATATAGACACATTATGAGCAGCTTTCATGATTTCCCTGTTTTACAGTTACATATATTTTCAAGTTTTGATTTATATCATGAAAAGTAGACTTTCTAAAATGAGCCCATTATTTACCAGCCAGCAGGGAACTCTTTATTTTCAGGATCTTAATCAGAGGTCATTGTTCCTTGGAGGTGAATCCTGATTATTCGTAAGACAAAAATACGAATTCTCTTTCCTGGAGCATAGACCATGTGCCTCTAACACATGGTTGAAATAAATATGGGAAGCTGTGGAGCACCCAGAACTCACCTTCTGACCCCATTTTCCCACGTCATATTTTTTCTGTCTTTACCAGGGAGCCAGAGCATTAGCCGCCCCAGAAGCTGAGCAGAGAGCCTCATTGTGAGGTGAACTGAGGAGTCCTGGTCTGTCAAGGCAAGGTTACAGCTGAGCTTTTACCTCCTCCCCTAGGGCACAATATGCAAATCACCTGGTGGGTGCAGCAGTGTGGAAAGGGTCAATGGTGGAAGGGTATGTCTCTACTGTAAACAATGTAATATAAAACGTCCGTTGGAGTAAAACAAACATAGTTCAAGTCAAGTATGCCTGTAGCAGGCGAGGACAGGACACACTAGGATCTCCTCCCAGTGACGTGACTGAGCATCCCTGCAGCCATGAGGACAGCAGGAAACTTTAGTGGCTGCTCCAGGGAGGATGTGGCAGCCAACACTGGAGGGTCTGTGGGGCTTGAGCACCCCAAGGATATCCTTGCTATGTCAAAGACCTGTCTGAAGATGGCAAACACACTCCACAATAAACAAAAGACAACACCATGGTCCCAGGAACACTGGGAAAGTAGGAGTGCTGGTGTCCCATTATCAACAGGGAGCCCTAGAGTTAGAGTCAGGTCTTTCCTGTGACACTTGGGAGGAGCCACCCGTGTGCTGAGTTGTGGGAACCTGCCCCGTGCCCTGAGACTGGAAGCACGGCCTTTGCTGTGTCCCACCAGCTATGGACTGAATTGTGCCCTCAGATTCATGTTGAAACCCTAATTTTCATTGTGACTATAGAAATTAGGACCCTAAAAATGTAATCGAGGTCATAAGGGGGGGGTTCCCTGATCCAGTAGAAATCGTGTTTTGTTTTTGTTCGTTTGTTTGTTTTTGAGGCAGAGTCTCGCTCCATCACCCAGGCTGGAGTGCGGTGGCCTGATCTCCACTCACTGTAGGCTCCGCCTCCCGGGTTTACGCCATTCTCCTGCCTCAGCCTCATGAGTAGCTGGGACTACAGGCGCTCGCCACCACGCCCGGCTAATTTTTTGTATTTTTAGCAGAGACGGGGTTTCACCGTGTTAGCCAGGATGGTCTCGATCTCCTGACCTCGTGATCTGCTCGCCTTGGGCTTCCAAAGTGCTGGGATTACAGGAGGGAGCCACCGCGCCCGGCGAATTGGTGTTTTTATAAGATCCAGAGAGCTCTCCTTTTTCCCTTCTCTCTCTAACTGCCTTCCACTCTACGGAAAGGCTGTGTGAAGACATCGTGAGAAGATGGTATCTGCAAACCAGGAAGAAGGTCTTTATCAGAAAGCAAACCCTGCTGGACATTGATCTGGGATATTCCAGGCACCAGAAATATGAAAATTAAATTCTGTGGTTTATGCCATCCAGTCCAGTTTTTTTTTTCGTGTGGCAGCGCAAGCTGACCCATCCACCTTTCCCACTCTCTCTGAGCAGGATAAGCCTCAGGATCTCCTACCTTACACTTGCTGCCTTCTGTGAATCAGGTATTCCGATGAGGATCCTGTTGGATCCTACTCGAGCCAGCGGCCACACAGACCCCCACTGAGGGCTGAGACCCACAGGCATCTGAGATAAGCAGAGGTCCAGAGAATGATAGCCCTTGTCTGTTCCCTGTAAAGACAGCTTCTCCCCAGATGGCTGAGGGCTGTCTTTGGCTGTGTCTTTCTTTCTGAATGATAATGAGGGATGGAGCAGTTCTCTAAGCAAAACCACAACATTTCAGGACAATAATGCCTATGCAGGCCCTCCTATGTGTGCTGCTCAAACCTGGACATAGGTGGCTCTGGATATACTTAGGGAAGTGAGGAGATTTATAATCACAAGGAAGAAAGAGAGAACGAGAAGAGGTGAGAGGGAGAGAGAAGAGCATGTGATATGTGTATAGTACCAACACTGAAGAGTCATTCTGTAATGGTTTAGTGCTGAGTATGATGCTCAAATGATCAGGTTCTATTCCATGGAACGTGTACAGGTACCTTTCATAGGAAAAGAGCCTTTGCACATGTAAATTAAGGATTATAAAATGGGCAGATTGTCCCATATTGACCATTTTTAAAATGTCATTTTTTAAAAGCCTGCAGAAGAGAAGACCATTTGAAGACATCAACAGAGATTGAAATGATTTGGACTCAAGCCAATGAAA